GGGGGGGGGTCCGGGGATGGAGATTTTCGCACCTGAGCTCCGCCGCTGTCCCGCAGCCCCCGCACCAATCCCGGGAGCGCGCCCGGGGCCGTCGGGAGTGCGCTCAGGGCCTCCAGAAGCGCCGCAGCGGGAGCGCGGGCGGCTGCCACCGCCGCCATGCTGGTGGTAGCGGCGCTTCGCTTCTCTGCGGCGCGCGGCGCACGGAGATGACGTCAAAGGGGAGGGGCGGGAGGGGGCGGAAGAACAACGAGACGAGCATAGAGCGCCCTAAGCGAACTTCCGGTCGTGGGCGTGAATAGCGCATGCGGGACCGGAAGTAAGCCCGGAAGTCAGGGAAGGAGGAAGCATGGCGGGCTACGGCGTGGCCAACGAGAGGCTGCGGGCCCTGGAGGAGCTGGAGAGGGAAATCGGCGCGGCGTTGCAGAGCGCGGGTGGGCGGGGCCAGCCGGTGGGCGGGGCTTAATGGGGGAGTAGGGCGGGGCCTGTGGGGGGCGGGGCGGCAGGTAGCGGGGACAGGGTGGGCGGGGCTTGCGGGGAGGCGGTGGGGTTTAAGGGGTTTAAATATGTAGGTTTGTGGGCGGGGCTTATGGTGATTTCTTAAAGGGGGCACTGCTGTGGGCGGGGCTTAATGGCGACTGGGGGCCTTAAAGGCACTGGGCGTTCCTGAGGGTGTGGCCCTGTGGGGGAGGGGCCCCCATTTCCCGTGGGGCAGAAAGCCCCTCCCACCGCAGGGGGGTCAGAAGTCACGACCCCCCCCATCCCCCCAGGCTCGGTGATTTTGGAGCTGTCCAAGGAAAAGGCAGCAGAGCGGCTGCTGGAGCGACAGGCGGCTGCATTTGGGGCGGCAGTAGCCAAAGTGGAGGCCGAGCTGGGGGCCCAGATCCGGTACCTGACACAGGTAGGGGTCAGGGTTCAAAGGTCAGAGGTCAGGGGATCGGGGGTTCGGGGGATGGGAATCCAAACGCTGAGGTCAGGATCCACAATGGAGGCCTGAAATGGAGCTCAAATCCAGGCCTCGAAGCCGTGCCAAAATCTGGGGGTCTGACCCCAAAACTGCGACCCCAAAATCCCGGATCCCGACTCCAAAGCTCCGCCTCTCATCCCCCATCAAAGCCCCTCGGTTCCCCATGGGAGGGGGCGTGGCCTGTTCGGAGGGGCGGGGCCTCATGGGTGCGGAGGCGTGGTCATTCGGAAAGGGGCGTGGTCACACCATAAGGGGCGGGGCCGCGTCAGGTTGGGAGGGACAACGGGAGAGGGCGGGGCATAGCTTGCGGGGGGGCGGGGCTTGGTTGAGTTTTGTGGGCGTGGTCACGAGGGGGGCGTGGCCATCTCTGAAGGAGGCGTGGCTCCACCCTGAAGCTCCGCCCTCTTTTCAGGTGGCCACCGGGCAGCCCCACGAGGGCTCGAGCTATGCGGCGCGGAAGGGCTGCCAGCTGGCCCTGAACAGGATGGAATACGCCAGGAGGAGGCTGGCGGAGCTGGCGAGGGGCTGCCAGCAGCTGCTGGACGCTTAGGGGGATGTGGGGCAGCGTGGGGGGGCCGCCGGACCCACGGGG